AGTAGTAAATCCTAATTTTGCGAATATGCGGATGGTTTTTTGAGTATATTCTTGTAGAGGAGATCAAGTAGATCATTTCTAGAAAAAATCCGAACTCAATATTCAAATTCTATCGAGAGAAAAAAGCAGCGAAAAAATCCGCAATAATTATGCATCAACCTAATATATGATCAAAGTCCGGCATGGGCAACGCTATAATGACAATACATAAGAAATTTGTATGATAAAGGGGCTAAAAGCAATAGGTAAAGGGCTAGAACTGTGTAAATATTTGGAAGCATGTATGCTCTATTTATTGACTAGTAACAGGGAAGAATATTGAAAATCACTGGATTTTTCTTTCCTACAATTCTTTTCACTTGCGACCTAGGATCACAAATCTCGAAAGAAAAAGGGGATGAATTATAATACTCATGGCAAGTGATACTGTTCAAGCTCTCCTTGGTTCTACCCAACTTTCTTTGATAAACACAGAAGAAATTGTTTTCTATTGATGAGTAGCATTCAGAACAAATGGAACGGTATAGTTAGAGCCTTTACAACTTCAGTTGTCAGCAGGAATCATAACTTATTCTCCTAAACATAAAAGAGATCAGTTTTTGATACGAAATCTATTCAAAACCTCTTAACCGGTCCCTATTGATAAGGAATATTCAAAGTTAATGGAGTTTTACCGTTATTGCTTTGAAGATTTCAATCAAGAATAAAATTCATGGTTTATTCTACCAAAAACAAAACATAGGGAATTTCCCTTTCTAGTGATAAGTATTCAGATAGTAGTGAAAGTATAGTAATATTCAAACTTGGTGGGCCGATCCAGCCTGGATAGGTAAACCATTGTATTGAATATGTGTATTTCTATGACTTTCACGACTTGAAGTAAGGTGACACTCATGGCTTAATCTTATGAGCATCTTATAAATAAGACCGTAATATAAGACCAATCTTTTCCTTCAAAATTAAATAGAATTGAATATGCCTCTAAACGTGAAAGTGTTTTCGGCATAAACTAAGAAGCATGGCGCAAACTCGAGCCATTACCCAATTGTAACCTAAGGAGCAGTCGAAATGAAATATATAATAATAAAATAGGTTAATCACTTGGGAATCAGGTGAAGTTCATTTCATGCGCATGAGTGCTGAGTAGCTCAGAACACTTTGTCAGAGCACAAATTCAAAATCAAAATGCCTGAAAGCTGAGATATTTGGTATGAGCCATGCATTCAACATTACTGCGATTTATTGAACAGTCTGAGTAACTTTTTCGGGAGCAAGTTCGTGATGAATTTGGGCTTTTTTTTTCAAATAGAAGAAGATACAATATGTAAATTTGTATAGAGATCATTTTGCTTAAAAAATACCAGGTCCAATTGATGAAAGGCTTACCGCGTCCCTCGGTTCGCCACGGTAACGGCGGCGGCAATCATATGTAGGTAAGGACAATGTTTCTCTGTAGGCGTAGTCAATCCAAGGTAATCCAAGGTAAGTGGGAAGCCGTGCGAGTGAAAATTATGGAGCAATATTTTGTCTTATACCAAATGGGCTATGCATGCTTATGCATGCATTGTATATCCACGACCGCTCATCCGTAGGCTTGTAACTTCTGCAGGTACTTCATCAGGTGATATTGAATTTCCGTGGAAACAGTCAAACGCGAGCGTTTTATATATTAGTGGGGGTGTTCATGTATTTTTGATAAAAGTACATATTTTCGAAATGGAATATTCTAGAACGTGCAATTCAATAATTCATGTATGAAGTTTTTGGCGGTAATCAGTCCCATTTTGGAATGCGCTCCTGCCTTGAGCTTTTATTCGAGATAAGATTTTCATTTGGAACGCGTACATGGCCTATACGATAGCTTGCGATGGCCAGCCGTTGTACAAGCAGCACTTTTGTCCTCCCAGACGAGTCTCTTACCAATTCGGGTCCAGAGCCACGCCCTCGTCATTATTCTGGCCAGATACCCAGGAATCTCAGGTTCTCAATTGATTCTATAAGCGTTACATAACATATTCCCCATGACTGGCTTTATTTTGAGGATTTCCCATGCTCAGGTAATAGCCGAGCCATCTCGGATGGCCAACTCTGTCTGGGTTTGGTCAGAGTACAAACATTTAACAGTAACACGGTAATGATGAACAGAGCATTCAGTAACTTCATGTCATATCGATGGGCTTCCTCTATGCCTTTTACTAACAAATTTATTATTATTTTTATTATACGAATTGTAGACCTAATCAACAATTGTAGGTCACACTTGCCAATCACTCGATGAGGCCGCCCGTGCCCATTGATTTCTCTGCCCACCTGGTGTCGGGCAGGATTATTTGCTGTATATTCAGTACTCTACATTATCATGAATGAGTGAATCGCTACTTACACCTACACTTGAGCAGCTCTCAGAACTGAATCTCTCTTAGGATTGTCTATAGGTCTTTGTACCCTTGAGATCTTACTTTATTTTCTTTTTCACTCTTGATTTTCAATTTTTTTATATTTCTTTCTTCTTTTCATAGCGGCTGAATAACCAGTTTAACGAGGTATTATTCCTGAATATTTCTTTCATTTTTATTTTCGCACGTTTCCAATCATAGTTTCGAGGTGGGTACGTTACCGAAAACTAGGCACAGACTCAGGCATTTAGGTAGCGTACCATTTTGAGCAAAATGTTTCATTCACTATCATCAGAAACGATGCAAAGTGATACATGAAATTTTTTTCTTCCGAAGTCGGTACCGAGTTTGGTGAAATGTGTTTGAAGCAGCGCCTCTATTGTAGAGATGAGTGAATTTCAAAATGGTAGTCATAGAAATGACTACCAACCTGAGAATCCAGTTGTGTCGCATAGGGAGTGCCACTGAGGTTTAATCCACTTTTAAATATTTGTGCTGGAACGGATGATGATAT